AACTACATCAAAATGCAAACAAGTTTCTTTATTTTCAGATCTTAATCATAATTGAAGAACTAAATACCCATCATCTAACCGGAAAACTATACCGGTAGCTAGCTATTGCATGTTGCAGTAGTAACGTGCTGCTCAGCTATCTTTATAAAAAAATCCCTATGTGATGGCTTAACAACCCTGTAAAAGATCAAATAATTTCAAAGGAATGCCACGCATTCTATCTGAAGAAGTTCATATGCCATTTTTAACCTAAACCCTAAATTGTGAAGTTCTAGTCTAATTTCTGACAAATAACCAAAGGTAAACAATAACATGCCCCCCTCTAACCTACAAAACTCACAAAAGGAATTTAGGAGCTCAAGCAAAATGATGTTTGTGACAACTGCACATTTAACCGTCTTTGTGGTGACGTAAAAACTGGATGTTTTGTTTAGCACAAAGGATGCTTCGGCTCTTCTACTACGATGTTTTTATATTTAGTAACATAGAAGTATCAAATTTACATTTTGTGGCAAAATGTTAGTAAACATAGCTTCATACTTCGCGTTCCAAAATTATGAAGAGTAAGTTCAATTCCTCATCGCTCATCAACGTTGTATGATTCTAACGACTTGCAATGAGTACCCATTGCCTACCTTTTGATATGCGTGACACCTTTTTTAAAATTCACCCATTCTAGCAATAAAAAAATTTCAAAAAAAATATCCATAGTCTGTAAGAACTTCTTCCTAAAGTTTCTACACTGAACACGGTTTGATATAAAAATAGATATGAAGTAAAAGATGTTATGAGTTTATTTAATATGATAGAAACAATTTTTTTTTGTAAAAGATTAAAATAGAAGATAATTTAAACACATTACTTTCTTCTATTTTCAAGATAATATGATTATTCATTTCTGGCCTCAGACGTTTTTGTATATAATAGAAACAAACAGATTTAGTAATCTGAAAAACGTGAATCAAATATGACTTATAATCAAATGTTCATTCTCTTCATTACGGAAGTGATCTGCTTGAGAAGGGAGACGTTTGCAGATGGTAGAAGGGGATTTATGTGCGTAGATATTTAAGTGTTAGTCACCTTTTCCATGACATTCCCTCTTCTCTAGTGTTAAATATTGGAACCAATAAAATCTTACTGACAACCGAAAGAGGTTTAAATACTTTTCTTCAGTCAAGCCTGGTGAATCGATCAATATTTAAGTACTTAACAACGCGCAGAAAATTGAAGCTATAAATCCACGAAATGAAGTAGGTTATCTTCAAAGGCAGATACATGATGATTCATGCAAACATCTTAAAACACTCATGCAATTTACATGTAACGTACCTTTGGGAATCGAAACCTGAACCCCCGCCCGTTATATCTGCCGTTATAAGGGGTTTTCGATCGAAGGTTTTATACATTTCTCTGCAATGCTATTTAAAGCCCTCCATGTTCTGTCACTGGCAAACATCTTGTTAATTGGAAGCTTTGACTACACATTGGTAGGCCAAAAGCAAATGTTTATGGAGAGCCATCTTTATAGTGTAACATCTCGCAGAATGCATGGCAATTGCCTGGCACATGCACCTAGTGCGAATTCCCAAACTTTTTCGGTCAATGCATGTTTACAGCAAACTGAAGCACGGAAGCACTGAAGCACTGTGAAGGACCTCTTCATTCTTCTGGTGGAGACTGGATATCAACGGCAACTTATTTCGAGATTTTATGTCTCTTCTCACACAGGACAAGTCTAGGACGAAACCAGCTCACGAAATCTCCTATTTTTTCTCTATCTTTCGATTCCCCCTTCGCATGATCCCGACGTCATCCAGAGAGCCCTTACAATCTTCAAAGGACTCAAAATCCTAAACAGAAACAGAATGGAAGGTGAAAGACGGAGTTACCTGCAGCAAGAAACGAAGAAATTCTCCTTACATGAATAATCTACACTCCTTGACACAGTTTCCAAGAGTTTCAGATGCCCAATGTTGAGAAGACGTCCGGCAGGATGCGGAATCAAATGAGTAACCAGCTACCCTCGCCTACATAAATATATTTGCTATAATTGAAGGTACGTGAATCAATATTTTACTGCCATTGACTTTGACTGCTCAAGTTTCGAAGAAATTTATAAGAATTATTCATGCGATTTGACAGAAGTCATCGATACGAAGTTCCTAATAATCTGGTACAATTGTAGCAATACTAGCAAACAAAGAAATTCTACTCCGTTTAATCAAGAATAACAACAAATCTTCAAGCTTTCAGTTACTTTTCCATTTTCTCGAGTGAACATTCATAGTCTTTCATACATGTATCAAACTGGATCATCCGGATGTTGTGTCGACTTTTGGATCTTTGAAATTTCCATACCACTAAATAAAACATTATTTCTTATTTTAAGAAGTACGATCTTTCAGTTACATTCACGTGGAGTTCATTTCCACAAAATCATCCTTTTTGTGTCCCGTATGATGATAGTAAAAGACAAGACTAGGTTCTTAGAGTATACACAACCTTTAGATTCGTCTACAGATACTTGTTATAGAATGTTCACCAATATATTATCCAATTTTTCTCTCTTTTGCTCCTGCATTTCAACACAAGTACATCACTCCTGAGGTATGATTCCATTTCTTCACATAGTCACCCATTGCAATCGCATCTATTTTGACTTCAACAATCAAGCAAGGCAAGAAGTGAGGCTATCTTTGATAATATTCTTTCAAGAGTATAGGGAAGCATCTTAGATTTCAAACCCCGTTGCAAAAGTTCATAAGGCATTTGATACAGATCATAAACCGAAAAAAAGGTTTGTTAGAAATCTTGATTTGTTAGGAAGTATGAAAGTTGAACTTTATAACGAAAAAAAGCATGTAATGCATGGTGCGTGGAATCGAGATTGGTGGCACATTGCATCCAACAGTCAGTCAATTAAAGGGTGGGATCTATGTAAAGGTACAAAGTGGACCGAACTTCGATCATGTGAGATGGTCCACACTCTTTTCTTCATATGTCTAGTGGACCTATTCAAACGCTTTCGATTGGGAAGTTTGTGAACATATTCATGAGGTAATGTGATCTCTCAAATAGCAACATCTTTTTCTTACCAGCACCAGCCTCAGTGGTGACCAAGTGTAAGTGGATCCATTATACTATTAAGTGTGGTAGTGAGTAGCTCAAATATTTTACATGCAAGAACGAAATATCAGAAACATCAGAAATCGGAATGAACGGAGGTGAAACAGTAAATTTAAATGAATTTACCACTCGTGAAAGCAAGAGATGGCTGAAGATCTGTTCCAGTGTCAATGACAGTCAGCCGTGTAAAGTTATCACCCAAAAAGCTGCTTGGCCCCTAGACTGCAACATACAAGATCAATAGGCTCTAGGAGTGCGTTTCCCAAAAAGATCTTGCCGTTCTCGCCGCTTCTCTCTCCTCCTTGTGCATGAGAGCAGAGTCGGACGGAGAGAGAGCGAAAACAGTTTGCAACTTTGCATTGGATCTGGACTTGTTGTAGGTGGACCCAGAAGCAGTCAGTGAAGCTTAACCTCTTTACTAACCTCCGGAAAAGAATAATTTGATGTCTTAAATATATCCAGCCCTATTCGGATGAGAAAAGCCAAATTGAATTTTGGTTGTCTTTACAGCAACTGCTTGTGATTCTGAGCTTCATATAACCGTGAATGCATACAGATCAATAAAATCAAACGTTCAGTGTAAACTCAGTAGATGCCCAATCAAACGTCTGACTTTTGGAACTCGAATGTCATAACCTAAAAGTTGTATCAGAGTGGTGTTGTCAGCTAGCCTTTCAAACCAGACGCGTACCTTGCAAATATTCGACGCCAAGCATAATATTCCTTTCGCAAGGCACTGGAAAAAGCATAAAAATTCTTGTGAATGGCCGTTAACCCAAAACCTGGTCAAACAAAGCTCAGAAAGTAGGAAACTTCATCGTGATGAATTTACGCAAGCGAGTTGGACTCCGAAAGCTCGACGAATAAAACAATTCAAGCTCGTAGAAATACGAGCTCGAATTGACTTATTCGCATTAGCCCGCACCAATCGAGCGGTTCGTGCTTTCCTTTCTTCATGTGGTGCTCGCATAGAGAAAGAAAATCATGTTCCACGTAAGGACGATGTATCTTTTCGGATCCACCTGCCTCTGGAAGAAGAGAAAAAGTTTCTCTGCCTAGATTTGCGCGACATCCAACGATTGAGTCAAATAATCGTCTGAAATTAGAGGACCAATAACGTTAGCCATGAGAGTTTCATCTCGTTTGAGAAGCCCTCACTTTTCATATGAAAGGAGGCTTTGCCTTGGCCATGAGCTTGTTGATGCTGTAGATCTGGTGGTGGACCAAGGAATCTACTCAAGCATCACTCCGAGTCTTTGATCATGGCACAAGATGATAATGGGCTCCCGAGATCTGAATTTCTACAGAGGCGCACATACTGTTGATCATTCCATCCAGATTTGTGTATCCAGTACCGGTAATCTAGATCTCGTTCATGCAGTTGTTAGGTAGACTCGGAAAAATCTTTCAGCAGGACCATACAACATTCTCCCACGAAGATTATCTGCAAAAGTAAGTTAAGGCGATGAACGGGTAACGACCAAAAGACAATGGGGTTGCAAAAAGACAGTGGGGTTTCTAGGTCGTTCGATCGATCCGAGGATCGAGAATCAAATGCCTGCCAGTTCTTGCAAACAGACTAAAATCTTCAGCCTTATTTGACAGCGGTTGGCCTATGGCTACACGCGTAATTCCGGAAGGTGCACGCCGCGACAAATAACCTCCAAACGGATCGGATCCATCGCAGAATTGACAGTAAAATGGATATAGAACGGAGGCACCGGACTGGACAGGCGAGGGCGAGGCAGGACTACGCTTGCGGTGGACAAGGACAGGCACAAATCAGTTTTCCGAAATTATTAGGCCTGTCCCCTGAATTACGTGGCGTTTAGACGGAGAAGGAGCCGGGACGGCCCTTCCCTGCTCCTGCAGCGGACCAGCAGGAGGAGGAGGTGATTTGGATGCGAAGTCCCATCGCTCATGGATCGAACTGCCAAGACCCCTTCCCCTCTGCGTGCCCGGAACCATGCACCCTCGCAGGTAAACTCGCAACTGCGGAATTGCGCAAATGCGCAAATGCGGAAATTCCCACATCGACAAAAACGTGGGAATGATTCCCACCTTCCACCTCCGCCTCTCGCTCGCTCCGCGTCACATCCCAACAGTAGGTTCTACGACGAGCCGGGGCCCTGGACTCCACGATGATCGAAAGAGACCGCGCAGAAAGGTTCTTCTTACAATGATCATTTTCTAAACCGCCTGCCGCTCTCCTCCTGCTAAATTCGAAGCTTCCACGAACATCGGCCATCACTTCCGAACTGCACTCGGCTCGCCGGTGCGGTCGCCCGTATCGTACTCCTCCAGGCTTTCCTCCGATAAGCGGAACCTCCGATATCCACCGCCCGCCAAGAGCTCCCACTTTCGTGCTCCGATGTCCTGTCAGAGCCCGTCGGCCTCGTCGTCTATCCGGGCGCTCCCGTGTCCGCCTCCAGATTTAGCCGCGGTTAGAGGCGTAGCGGCGGAGCTTTCGTCCGCTTCTCGAACTCCCGAGCAGCGTAGTCAAACGGGAGAGCGGAGGTGGTGGGGTCGCGGCCGCGGCCGCGGGCGCGTCAACGAGCCGGAATAGCGACGCGCTGCCACCTCACGGCGTCAGAAGGTGGCGACGACGACGACGACGTACGTGCTCCGTGTAAGTGTGGGGCTCCGTCACTGACCGGACGATTGAGTATCGAGTCCGTGAGTGAGTACGTACCTCGGACCAGGACCGACGTCGGTCTGGCCGGAATCCGGAGTAACCCTCGTCACGCTTCGAAACGCGACCCGCAATTCTGCCCATGGGCCGGCCTGCCTGACCAATGTCCGCGAGCCGACCGGTATGTATGTAACTGTGCCGAGTCCCGAGTCCCCGGCAGGTCCAATTCCTGCTGTTAGACGTTGACGATTTCGGATGACGGACGGGCGCGCTTTACGTTATCAGGAGGGAGGCGGGATCCTCCGCTTGGCCTCATGTGCCTGTCCTACGGTTATAAAACAATATTATCCGAGAGGTTTCTGTGCAGCGATGTACGAAGTCTAGGAAATGAGGAGGAGAGTATATTGAAGTGTACAGGTAGCTTCGGTCATGGTCTGCGAAATAAAGAGAAAAAAGTGCAAATTCTAAGCCTCTCCTTTAGTTTAAAAGATCGCAAATGAAATGGAGAATCAGCGAGTAGGCTGCACCCTTTTATCTAACACGTGAGACGATTGGAATGCGAGTACTTTGGACAATGTGTGAGAATGAGAGGAAAAAATATACCCGATATCACTTCTTAGACTAGTAGATAAAAGTTAGAGAAAGAATTCGTTAAACCCCTTTTAAACTGTAGTTCTACAAGCGAATGGAGTATACAGTAGACAGTTGCACCTCTTCTGAGTGAGGGCGGAGTATCTTGGAGCAAAAAATATGAAATGAGAAATATACCCCTAGAATTTCTCCCTGGACGAGTCGCTTTATATACGATGGTAACAAAGATAGTTCGCATTGCCTGTGAATCAGACAAGGACTTTTGTAAATTTCGACGAGACAAGCTGACTCTTACTAATCTAGCTGATATATTTTGGTACTCTTGCGAAGGAAAAATATGGCTAAAGGAATCAACGATTTGAGATTTTATTGTTTCATTTTGTTCATTTACATCAGTTGTTTCTTTCACATCCTAATTGGAGAGAGAGAGTAACTTGTATGTAGGGGAGAGGAGGAAGATACTCCTTTGACCTGGAAAATTCAATTGTGTAGGAAGAAGCGTGAGGAAGAAGCTAAGTAGTAGGAAAGAATAGCACCCGGAAGAGTAGGAGAAGAGGAGAATACTCCTGAAGTCATCGAGACTAGTCGTAGAAAAGCATGATTAGCTCACATCTGGTAGAATGACGACGTGAGGTCCGGGAGAAATATTATTTTACCATTCATCTACCCCGTTTATTTTGAAGGGTGAAGCGGATAGTAAAATGAAATCAGCGAGAAATCATTCCTGAAGTCTTTATGTATGACCATTTTAATTTCGAAGGAAGGCGTCGAGGAGTCAGCCGAATGAGAGTGAGCTCTATTAAGTAGGAAAAATTCGGAGTCCAAGTTAAACAAAAGCCGAAAAGATTTGAGGTGACTCGAAGTAAAACAGAAATAATTGAGGAAAGGATCTAATTCAGTCCTGTCGCTGCCAGTATTTAGCTACCTCCTCACCGCTTCTTCTTCCTCCTCGAGGGAGAAGCGGTGAAGAGGTAGCGTCTTGAAATACAGCCTTGAATAAGTAAGCAGGTAAAATAGCTCCAGGTCCCTATCGAGACCAGCGAAATAAAGGCTAGAACATGATTATACTTCGTCACTTTAGGGCGGTACATGTTTATTTTTTAGACGGTTCTCCATCTAAAAAAAATAAACACGTACCGCCGAAAGTGAGGAAGTATAATCATATACGAACCGTCGAGCAGTGAGCCGGATGAAGATGAACTCGGAATGACGTAGAAACGCAAGGAAAGAACTCTCCGCGGGTCTCGAAGGCTCAGGCTAGGCTGTGGAAAAGACTAGAGAGCGAGAATTTGGTCGACGATGTGACTAGACTCTGCTCGATCTATCGCCGGGGCAGTGAGTGAGTGACTCGGCCACCCATACCAGAGGCATCAGCCGGTGAGGTGAGGTGAGCTGTGGAGAGCTACACCTACCAGCCCGGGGAAGGCGAAAGGCGTACGCTGTAGAAAATGCGCAAAGCGTAATGAGTACGGTGGTGGCAACGATACGGTACAACTACGCATGGAGTACAGGCGAAAAGGTTGTAGGCCACAGTGGCGCCCTAGGGAGGGAGGGAGCTAGCGTAGTAGGGGTCCTAGGGGCGAGTAGGGGTAGGGGTAGCAGAGAGGTGGAAAGTCCTTCAACTGTACCCTTTCGAGACAGTGGCGACTTTTTACCGTCGGGGGACGGAACGGGCTCGAGGGGAGGAAGGGGGGGGGGGGTGGCGGGGGGGAGCGAGCGAGAGAGCTCGGTCGATGCGATGAGCTGAGCAGGCATCGAAACCCTTGCTGGTTTGGAGCAAGAGCTCGAGAGAAGGGTCAGTCGCAAATAAATTGGCTACACGTGGGTGGGCCATGCACATCCTGGAAGATTCGTACGACGAAGGCGGACGAGCGAGCTTACATGGCGGACGGCGATTGGAGGTGGGGGTAATTTATCTTCGCGAGTAACTATGGGAAAGGCATCTCGAGGAGGAGGACTATCAACAGGATTTAGTTTGGCACGAGTTCATCTGTCGATTAGTGCCTCGTGATCGCTGAGTCAAAGCGCAAATTTGCACAGACTAACATCCAATCAAGATACCTTCATCCGAGATCACCTCGAGTACGGATGTCGCTCGCTTTATCAAAGCCTCAATCAAGCCGTTCCTGACGACGTTCCCATCGTTGTCATGCGTTCTCCTCCTCGTCAGAGCAACTTCCAATTTCGCCCCTCGCGAGCCCCTTCCACTTTTCAGATCGCGTCCGGGACGTTTCAGGCCCCGTCCGACGACCCGTCGTCCTTCGGCGTCGGGACAATGTTCGAGCTCGTGTACCGACCGACCGCTGCCACTGTGTCTGGGCTCCAGGATTCAACGGTAGATCGGGGCGCTCCGCGCGAGTGAATTTAGCGGAACTGAGCCTGGCGCGTTGGTACGGCTCTTTTGGTGTTGCCCTCGAAATCGTTTAGGTTATTCCCGAGCTGGTTGCAGAGTTTATGCTCTTATCTAACCGGGATGCAGGAGCAAGTTCGTACGCTCTTGATTGATCGTTCCAGACCATCAAGTGCTTTTCGAGCTTCGTACTTTTCCGTCTCGGTGTAAAGTTCGTCGGCACGATTTGATGCAGAAGTTGCACGGAACCCATGGTAGTGATTGAAATGATCTCATTATATCGTGACCTCGAGAAAACTGTTGACTCTTGCTTGTAAGTCCCTACAGCAATTTCAAAGGCGTTCGATCGGATGATACGTGCAGGACTGCTGCAGTTTCCCTTCGAGTGTGTGTCTCCGACGTGACCTCGCACCTGAGCCGAGGCAGTTGTTGGGAGCGCCCAATAATCGCTTTCATTTACCTCAAGAAAGACGTAACCAGTTAAATTAGCATATTCGACAGCGACTGCCGCAGAAATGAGAAGGCAGAACACAGCGGGACACCGTTGACCTACGGAAGGACGTTTGAGTGGGTAATGAACACTGGACCTGCAATATAACACAACCCCATGCAGAATGATGACGAACTACCAGACGCTACTGGAAGTGATGAAGCACCTCTCGAGACCTCGGGACATAAACTTTCGTCCAAGTAAACTACACTTCCCATTAAACTAGCACTCCTCGAGTAGGAACAGTGAAGGACCTCCGTTCTTCAGTCTAAGCAGATTCCATACAGGAAGAAACCACATCTGGCACCAGCTTGGAAGCAAATTTTGTAACGATACCTCCAACCCTACTCAACCACTGAAGTAGACCGGGAATTTACAGACAGACGTGAAAAAAGAGACATGTCGTGCTCCTCGTGGTGAACCTCTGATACCCGGCACTGGGTCATGTCAACTAAGAAACAGATGAGATGCGAGCAGGTGGGATAAGTACTTCAGCTAATGTTCTATTCTCTCCGACAGGCAGATATGCTAATTGCCTGAGGCGAACATGTGGGCATGTATGCGCTTGGTCTGGAATAAGATCAATTCAAGAAAGAAAAACGGACTGCGCTCATGATGAAGAAGTTCATGCTTCTGCCTAATTTAGAACTTGGTCGTTTCTTGCTCTGGCAGATAGATAGCTCTGGCAAACAGAGACCTAAGTACAACAACACAATGTGCTCTTCATCACATGCTGTATCATCTTGCTTCAGAAAAGTTACCGCTAAACATCGTTCGCATCTCTTTACACACCCATCCTTAACGTTTCTACCGTCACTCTTTCGCACTCTTAAGGCTGTAGAGCACAGGCAATCTACATTCGACAATTGCGGCAAGGGACCTCATGGAATTTTCCAGAGGACAGCATAGCAATGGCCAGAGAGGGCGCAGAACAGGTAGAACTGCCTTCAAACCTGAACACTTCCCTGTGTACAGGAGAGTTTGTCTTAAAAAAAAGTAGACCAAAACTAGCGGCGGACCTACAATTGCAAACGAAGAAGACTTGATTTCCAAGAGACAAGGGGCTTCAATAACAAAAAGACTTACAAAGAAGAAATTCTTCTTACAAGAAACAAGAATCGTTCGAAGATATCAGGCTAATTACAGCCACAACCTTGCCGATTGAGCTACCGTTCAATCCAGAGATCCCATCCAAGAAAAAAGAGAAAGGTCCTGGATGCAAAGTGCTCTACCAAGGCCCCCCAATCTACACTTCCTGAATCCACTCGGAACCTGCCGCCCTGCATCCGAACCGTTACCAAAACAAAGCAGATCTTCTTCGCGCGCTGTACCAAAAGAGCTCATGGTCTTGACAGTGGATAGTCCTTTCCAAAAAAATCTTCTAAAACTGTACCAAATACTGTCTAAAAGAACCTTCTAAGAGGATGTAAGGTGCTGCCCACACTACGGCTATAGTGCTTCAAAGAGATTTCCAGAGTCAAGAAAATCACTCCAAAATTTCAACCTTTTATACAGTCATTCAACCCGTCTGTTCCAAACGGGTTAACGGTTTTCCCTCAATCCTGCGAGGACTAGTCTCCATCTAAACATCTGCTTCCTTCCTTCCTAGCTTTAACGGCTGCAGCACAGGGCGGAAAGACAAAACTGCACATAATCTCTGCGAAGAGCACTTTCAATTGCAGTTCGTGCACCTCCAGAATGTACATGCAGTTCTGATTGCCTACCTTCCTTTCCTCCCCCTTCCTTCATCTAGCTTTTCGTATCAATCCAGCACCTAACGTCTATGCACAGCTTCATTCCTTGGATCTGGGTTTCACATGCCTCGTGACTGACCTCCTTGGCTCTGCATGGACATCTGGTATGGATTCCCCATCATCTGTTGATGACTGTACATCATTCCAGGCTGGGGCTGGTAGGATTGCATCATCTGCATCGAACCTTGCATCGTTCCGTTCATCCCACCGTTCATGCCATTCACGTTGCCGTTCATCCCGCTGCTCCCGTCCTTCACTACCGACTGATCACCCTGTTTGGCCATGGAGGCCTTCTCTCCTTCCGTCTCGCGGTACTTGTGCAGGTACACCTTCAACGGTTCGACGTAGTCTTCGAAACCCAGCGTGCTCATTGCCCACAGAAGATCGTCGCCATTGATTGTCTTCCGTTTCTCCCTCTGGCACTTGTCAGAGGCCTCTCCAGTGATGAAACTGATGAACTCAGACACGCATTCTTGAACCGTTTCTTTGGCATCCTTCGAGATTTTCGCATTCGCCGGAAGCGCTTTCTTCATGATCCGACTTACATTTGCGATGGGGAGAAACCTGTCTTGCTCCTTAATTGAAGCATCTTGACCGCTCCCGAAGTGACCACCCCCGGACTCCTTGTCAGAGTGAGGGCTGCTCTCCGGGCTACCGGGCTGCTGCTGATGGTAATCAGCCATCGCTCAAATCGTTCGGGCAAGTTTCTTCGTCAACCCTAGAAGCACACCTATGGGCAGGTTCCTGCAAACTCACGGGGCTGTGAGTTCACGTGTCACAGAATGTGCTTGCCCATCTCCAATCAGTCAAAATCAAGAGAAGAACAAGCGCTTTCTGAGCAGCTAGAAGCCGCCCCAGTCTGCCAGTCGAGGCCCCAAGAATGCCAGAAGCGTCGGGCCGTAAAGAACCTCCGAGTTATCTTGTCGACAAATCCCCTACTCCTGGTCGCAACAGTGCTCCTCGAGCTTCTTCCTTCCTAATCTCCTCCCTTGTCACTTATAAGTATCCATCTACTTCGAACCTGCAACCAGTATCGCCCGGGGCAGCGGCGGTGATGAGTGCTTCCTAGCAAGCTACAGCGATTGAATTATCCTAAACACCTGCCAGATTCACGTACCCCACTCGCTCTTCTCGCTCTTCTCGCTATCTCGCCCTCTCGCTCTACCACCAGCAGCTTCTCTCACGCCCCAAGCTCCATACGCAAGACCCCTCTCTCGACCGTAAAGACCCGCGCGACGGCCCCTGCAGATCTTCAGGACTCGAAAGCAGCCAATCCCCCCTCTCTCCGAACCGACCGACGCGAAATCGACTTGCACTTTTGCAGAAAACAAACAGACAGACGCACACACAGACACAGACGATCCCGCCTGGACAAACACACAACGCGCACTCGTTAAAAATGCCACGCAAATGGGACTTGATCTGCAAGACAGCTTAAAAACCTCTCACTGTGGACCAACCTGCGGCCAGGGTACAGCCTCTGATAGGATCCCGCTTCTCTTCTGCAGATGACAAACAAGCACACTCCCTCCGCTCGCTCTCAGAGCGAGAGACTTTTCCTCGCAAACCCTGTTTCCCCAAAAAAATCCAAATTAAAGCATTTAAAATAGCACTCTCCACACTCCCCCCACCAATCCTCCAGGATGGATCTCTAAGCTCGGCTCCGGCCTCTCTCGCGCGCACCGTAAAATTTTTAATATATTAGCGCGCGCCCGGCTCATCAAGCCTCGCCCTCCCTCGTCAATCGCAGATGATCAGACGCACACGAACTGCAGCTTCCCTCGAGCTTCTTTCAGGATAAAGCAGCGTGTAACACCTGGCGGTAAATTTTGCCCTAGGGCCTCCTCCGCGCGAAGTAAATCCACGCGCCAGACTTATCCTCAGAGCTCGGCCTTCACCTCACTCGGGGTAAGCTCTCGGCCGATCCGCGCCATCGGCACCGTCCGCTCGCCCGCCCGCGCCTGCCGACTCCTCACCGCCATGATTTATTTCGTCCCTCCCCACGGCCACCTCCGGCCCTCGCCGGCAGGGCGCCCCGCTCTTCCAGGCCGGCCTTCCTTGTCGGCGACCTCCTCCGGCCGCGGTGTCCCGGTCACCGCTGGTCACGGCCGATGCCTTCTTTCGGTAAACTTCCCCGGCGGGCACGTTTTTCCACAAAGTTCGCGGCCTCCAACAGCTCGCGCATCATATCGCCGGAAAGGGGCGCCCGCATGGGGTGCAGTGCCCGAGCCGTCCAAATCGAAATGCCGGGAACATTGATGGCGTGGGATGGCGAGCGAGCGCGGAGGTGGGAGCGGAGGGCGCAAAAAGCCGTCCGACGGATGCCCAAAGAACCCATTGTGCATGCCATGCCATCCATCCATGGGTGCATCCGGTATGCGCATGTTCGGCCTCTGGGCCCCATGGTCAGGATATTATGCAAACAGATGAGGGGCCCGGGCATCACCTAACCAGCACTGTCCTCAGCTCTAAGTTAGACTGCCAGGTGGCATTTCCTCTCCCTGCGACGTGGAACTCTTGAGCTTAGGTGCTTCGTTCAGCTTAGCGAATCGTTGCCCCGGGGGCGCGGTCGTCATAAACCTACATGGACACCTACTCTTGCAAACGCTTCTCTCTCTCTTACCCTATCCCCTGGACAGAACACAGTATTACCAGAACCCCCGGTGCGGCAGAAGAGTTCTACTTGGATAAACCCACCGTCGGTAAATTCAGACCTTGCCCCCATAAGTCACGATCATATATAGATGCGCAATTCTAAAAAAATTATTAAAAATTAATTTCAATAACAAGCTTCATGATCAAAAATAACTTCAAAAAATAAATAAATATTATTTTGATAATAAATATAAATATAATTTATTTTTATTTTTAAAATTATTTGCATAAACAATATGTTGGTTTATTTGTAATCAAGATTAATTATTTACTGTATTAATATTAAATCAGATTTTTAAGCAAATAAATGTTATATGATTTAAATCTTTAATTTTTATTAATTTAAGTGCTAAAATATTTGTAAAAAAAAAATTATATAATCCAAATTTTTATTAATCATTTTTTATGATCAATTTTTTATCATTTTTATTCATAATTTTGAACTAAATTATGATAAAATAATCATACATTTTGTATGTCATCTTTTGAGAAAAATCTTAAGTTAATTTTCTTTTATGTAAAAAATTTAAATCATCATATTCAGTTTATTATTTTGAAGTTATTAGTAATTCATGTCAAATAATACATGATTTTCAGTGCATATCATATGTCTATGTTTGCAAGAATATTTACAAATAATTGGAGTGATATAGTATGTTAATTTTTATTGTATTATTCAATGATTGTAATTTCAATTTAATCAAATTTCAATAAAAAAATTTAATGATTTATCAATTTTTAATTGGTCAAAACTTAATACTTTTCAAGAAATTGCAGCAGCATTTTTCAATTCAACACGTGTGAACAACAATGTTTACTTTTTTACATTTTTTGTTCGTATGACGAAGTCAGAAAAAGTCAAAAATTAATCTCAATCTCATTATCAAATGCAGATTTCTCTCCTCATCATAATTTACATCATCATACTTTTATTCTTATAGATTGAACATCATGTCGTACACAAAATATTTTCAAATATCATAGACATTCTTTTTCTCAACATCCAAAGATGAAGACAAAAAATGCACTTTGAATGAATTCTTGCGAGCAATCAAACATCATTGAAGAATAAAATATGCTCAAAAATTTGAACCAAGCTCATTGATCAAAATGCTAATTGCAAAGATGATTTTCAATATTATTATAATGAAATAAAACGTACTCAAAGATTTGAACCAAGCTCATTGATCAAAATGTTAGTTGCAAAGATGATTTTCAATATTATTATAATGAAATAAAACGTACTCAAAGATTTGAACCAAGCTCATTGATATAAATGCTAGTTGCAAAGATGATTTTCAATTTTATTGTAATTGAAGTAATGGTTACATGCTTGAATAATATTTGTAGCTTTGTTTTTTAATCCAATTTTATATTCTGACCAAATGCAATGCAAAAGCTACAATGAAGTTTGATCATTTTTGACGATTTAAAATCATGATGCGCAAACTTAATACCATCATTGATGTTATTTTCCTTAACATACACCAACAAGCATTTTTTGAGAGTGATATTATGTTGTGTCGTGATACTTTGTTGTTTTTCCCTTTGAGTTTTGCTTCTTTACTTGCCTTACAAAACATTTCATATGTGTCGTGATTTGAATTCAACGAGATAAAAATTGTACCCACACTACTAGCATTCTTGAACTGCCTTACTGAACATTTCATATGTGTCGTGATTTGAATTCAACGAGATAAAAATTGTCTCCACACTACTGGCATTCTTGAACTACACAATATTTACATCTAGACTCATCAATTAAAGAAATTTTCATCTACAAAGCATGATTAAACTATTGATTTAAAAAGTCAGAAGATAGAGTAGCACAAAGTCATAACACAAAATCACAATCCATACCTTGATAAACTAATTGATTGTACTACAAACAGATTATGTGTGAGAATCACAATTGCATTTCTTGTATTTTTTTATTGTACTTCTGAGCAACAATAAACAATTTCCTATTAATTGAAAAGATTTAGATTTTTTAGATATTAGATTATAAGACATACTTACATCCATAGTATCATTTGAGTTCCAATAGACATCTCACTTCTCATTTGAGCTCTAACTCTAATATGTTTGATTGATTTCAAGGCTACAATATTAGCATTTTCATTATCTTGAGTTTTTTTATGCTACAAAAATGTCAACAATAGTTTCAAATTACCAATTTCTTGCTCATAGATTTCATTTGACTTGTTGTGCATTAATGTGTTGTATACATATATTGCATCTCAATAACATTTTATTCTTTTTATATCAAACATATATAAAATGAAAAATGCATTTTTGATGACCTTTTTTATCTTTTCCATGATGAAAAAAACCAGTTCTTCATATTAAAAGATATTGGTCTCACACACTGAATTGTCATCTCACGGACGAGACTCTTTTTAAATGAACTCTTTTATGTAAGGCTAATCTTGTTAGCAGTTTAGAGTTTTCATATGACGTCGCATCAAAAATATTATACTTTGAAGCCACAGTTTTTTTATTACGATATAACACAATTTACGTTTCAAGGATGATTGCAATCATCGTCGTGAGCGAGAATGAATTTGACTCAACTCTAAAACATTTTTTATCATCAATTTCTATAAAAGTTAAGCAATAAATTTAGGTTTTTTGTGTTATTTTTATAGTAATGTCATCGGTTTAGTATTTTGCATCCAACAAGCAAGTATCGTTACACTATAGAACGGTTTCAAGCCAGTTTACAGCTATTTACATCTTTGCATTAATTTAGTCACAAAAATGAACTACCATTTAAATCATGTATGCGGCATAATTTACAATCGTCTACATTATACATGTTTGTTCATCCATAATATACTCTTGAATTTATTCAAATCCTTCCTTTTAAAAATAGATTTCAACTGGTTTTTGTATCAATCAACATTTAATTGATTCTTCATCAAAATGAACATGTCATTTATGTAAAGTATTAAAGCAACGATATTAAGAATCTTATTTTTACTTTTTTCCAGGTATATACATGTATCATACACACTTTGTGAAAATTCTTGTGTTTTGATTAACACATTAAGTCTTACATTTCACTACCTACGAGCTTGATTAAATTACAAAATGATATATATATATAAATAAACTTATGTTGATTTTTTTCTCAAATAAATTAATTGTCTCATGTAAATTAACTTTTTTGAAGATCCATAGAAAAATATTATAATTAAGGACTTCAAATACATAATTAGACCAAATATTGCAGCAAGTGCAAGTACCAATTAAATTGTAATATATTTTGCTAAAAAGAGATAGTTTTTATTATTGTTATATCTTTCAATTGTGTGAGATTTCTAGTCACCAATCTAGTTTGAAATATTGTTCATTTGTCAATTATTGAAATCTTCTTTAGCTTATAAACTAATTTGCAATATAATCAAAAGTACTAATTTTTCCTAAAATGACCACTATTGTGAAATCATCTTTAGTTTGTTAAAATTAAAGTTTTGATTACTCAAGATTGCATAAAATAGATAATAGTGGAATGTCTACAATGTCACTTGCTTGCATCAATTTCACAAAGTTGTTCCTTGCCTTAAGTCAAGATTGAGCACTTTTATACCTTTAATTCAATCATTTTTTACTTTATGGTTTGTTGAAATTTTTTTAAGGTGTTTGACAACCATTGCAGATGTTCAAGATTTTGTATTATTCGTGTGCTTGGAAATCATGAATTTACAAGGAACTCCGTCGCATGCCGGTGATGTGCATGCAAACCACGCATCTACTGTCAATCTTCTTGCGATGAGATTTAAATTCCGTCCACAAGGAAATACCATTTCACTTGTGCTACTTTTTTGAAGTTTTTCATATCATGATGTTCAAATTCCAATTTTTTTCCACAATACTTCATGCATTTCTTTCCAGGGATGGAGTTTTCACCGGCAAGCCACGCAGTCCGAGTGCTCTTGTAGATCTCACGCTTATCTTTCAGAAGCGCGACATGCCTTAGTGTGATGCGGAGCAATTGAAATCGACAAAAAGATGAATAGTAGTTCAAGAAAACCCTAAAATCATTTAATTGGAAGATGTGAAGGAATAGATGGATGTTGTGAAGACCGGTAAACATTGGAAGTATCACTAGATCATCTAGTTGATCACAATTCGGAGAAAAATGCACAATGTTTTCTCAAACCACTAAGCAAGGTGAAATTGACAATAGTGCATTCAATTCATTATAGTTGTCATGTGTGGCGTGTGCAATGTTGATTTTGAAATGAACTCTTGCCTCAAAGTGTTTTCATTTGACAACATTTTCCAAAATCTGTATGACTTCATCCATGAATTTTTATAACAGTTTCAAAATGTCAAAAAAAATCCTTATACTCAAAGGAGCAACATTGCAATCTATAACACTATCTTCTGATTTGCAATCACTATATGGTTAGACTTTTATGTTGATTTACAGTATAAGTATTTATGTAAGTTTGCTAGAACTGGAGAGTTTTTTTTTCAACAAGTTTTTGGATTACAATCAACTGCCGGCCATATTTTGTTGTAATTGTAATAATATGTACTGCAAGTTGCAAAATTACAGTCAGTTGCAGAACAGATGCTTGCGTAACACAGATTTTAAATTTTTTTATTTTTTTACTACAAGCTGCTAAATTGTAGTTAGCTACGTTCTAGAAATTGATGCCTAATACAAATTTCATAAATTTTTTTGTGTGACTATAAGCTGGTCAATTATAAACAACTTCCTTTATTTTTTGCTAAGTCACAGTTTTTTGTTCTTGCACTAATGGTTGATTATGCTGCATTTAAGATTGCACTAATGGCTTGATTATTTGCATTATTTGATTTCTTGTTTAGTTTTTTTGGGATTGAAGTTTATATTTGTTGTTGATTTTGAATACACTTTCATGCTTCGTTGTTGTGTTTAGTTTTTGATAATTATTCACGACTTCACACAAAGCTTGTGTCAATGTGCCCCAATTTTTGTAAGTAAAATGAGACATGTGAAATACAAATGAAACACACTGAGAAGTGAAACACAATCTATAACAATTACAAAAGAGACAAGGCAATGAATTTGAAGTCTAGATAATAACAATCAAAAAAATGTCAATGCTATCACTTGGCGTACGAGTTCATGTTTGACAATATCCATGCCAGTGTTGTGAACAGAGATGGACTCAAGTGCACCGTTACTTCGGACACAAACACAACGGAGAAAAAAGCGGAAAGAGCTCATCAAAATTGTCAAAGCCTAAGCGCAAAGAGGATTTGATTGTGAAGCGATGCCTTGGAAAACTTAAGGAGAGAAACAAGATTTTGATAGATAGTTTGAAGATCAATGATGACTTAAAAATTGCTTTTTTAATGAGTATGCAAAAAACCATGGAGAAATTGGTTGATGAGCTCTAGGTGAGCATTTACTGGGCTATGTTAGAGTAGTCCACATTCATGGCAAACGATTATGCCACACACATCCGTGTTTTAATGATCCACAAGCTCTTGGCAATGCCATTCCGCCTTGCACATAACTTTTTTGCAATTGAACTCCAATTGTCATTGAAATTTTTAATTCTCTTGCGATTTCATGTTTGATGTACTCCAATGTTTCTCAAAATTTTTCTTTAATTCTAGCAAGGTTATGTGGAGTGTGGTTGGACACCACAAGCTTATATTGTCTCGCAAGTTCCAAAGATGCCATATGTGACAATCCATTGTGCATCTCATCTGATGTACTCTTGCAACCACTCCATTTTACAAAAATTGTCTCCTAGGATGATGCATATGTTGTGTAGCACAAGACAAATATTAATCAATTCAACCACATTCTTTAGTTGCATGTTAATACTTTTTAACAATATTTGCCACCTACCCTTGAACATTCCAAATGCTCGTTCAATGCATATACGATTGAATCTCTAAACAAAGTTCTAGTTGTATTCTTTTCGAGTTATCTGGTCTTTGTACCCATGAAAATGGCTAAATTTGTTGGAGCTTTGTTCCACGGGGTGTTTTTTCTTAAAGCTATTTTATTGATTGTTAGGGTCAAAGCCGGTTTTTCTACAACAGCCTCTTTTATGTTTTGGAAAATTGCATATTTGTTGAACTTTAATTTTAAGAATTAAATATAATTTTAATTAAATTTCAAAACATTCATATAAATTTTGTAATATTCAGTCTTTTATGATTTTTTTTGTGAAATATGCTTTAAAAAATATATTATTTAATACTTTAACATCACACAATCATTGATTTTAAAGAAAACCTTATTCTTTTGAACGTGAAAACATTATTTAAAATTATTTATTTAAGTTTTCTACTCTTTATTTTTCATGAATTTAAGATACAAATCATTTTTGTTTGCTATGGTATATCATAAACATGATAAAAAAATACTTATTAAATATCACATGAATACATGAAAAAAATCATATTTTAGCATACATACTCAAAACTGTAAATAAAATTTTTAATCCAATAAAATTTTGTTTGTTATTTTTTACTATAATGTCCAATTTTGATCAAATGACAAAATAAGTTTACTTGATTATACAAGGAGTTTGTAAATTGATACACTGCAATTTATCATGGTAACAACTCCTTTACACAACAACTTTATCATGGTGTAATGTAGATGTTCATAGTTGCAAAATATCATTTTGCATCTCTCTCTTTTAAATTAAGGTAAATTCCAAGGACAGATTCAGCTATATCTGAACACTTTTACTTTCTGCATCAAACAAGATACTTTCTGATTTTTTGGTTATTCGTGATTGTGTTTTGCTTTGTAAACTTGAGAATGGCAATAATTATCTTCTTCAAAGAAAATAATGTAGATCTTGAAAATCAATGATATCAATTTGACATAGATTTGTGCCAATGATAGACATTTCAATTCTTTGAAATGTCTATCATTGTAGATTTCATCATGGTTGCACTTGAGAACATACCTTTCAATTGATGGGTTACTAAGAGATTGCAAAGTCTTTATTGTGTGCAAAAGCTTTGAAACATCTCTTCAAGAATATTAAAAGATGTTTATGGAGTAAGTGTTTATAAGTGTAATGTATAGAAAAAATTGTTGTATTTGATGCAAAAAATAGTAATGTTGACTCTAATATAGTTGAATTTGTTTGAACTTGATTAAAGTTATAAGAGAGATGAAACATGGTAGTTTGCAATGGATAGACATTAAAGTTAACAACCACCAATGAATTCAACAATTTGCTTATATAATTGAACCTAACTTATGAGATTACAATAAATATAAGAAATGTACCCATATAGAAAAGATATGACGTGTTTTCATATAGTTATAATTATTATTTTAATCATATGGAATGTAGTGTTAAAGATATTTAATAAAAGAATGACGACAAAACATTATTGTTTTATACAAAAGTTGTACATTTACATTAATATGTGGATGTGACACATATTTGAAAACTTTATCAATTATCTGATTTATTTTATTTTACAATATCACTCAATGTCAAGAAACTCTCATTATCAAACCGACCATCTTGAAACTCTTGATGACAATAAATTTTCCACAGCCGATACAGAATGAACCGGCCACCATTTTTGAGCAATCGAACGACAGACTAAATTTCTCCGTCGATACAATCTCCAACGACACCGCTGTATCTGTACGGAGACAACTTGGGAAGAATGGAGCGGCAGTATGAATTTCTTTGTCAATACCATAATCTTGATTTCCGCCCATTCCGCAGGATTGATACGTAGACATCTTGGGTAAATCAGACGATAAACTAATGCGATCCGTCCGTTCATTTCCATCAAAATCGCAAACAATGGTGTCGATAGAGAAACAATCTTGGAAATAAAAGATAAACAAGAAATCGGGTTAAGAGAATTCCAAACGTTCGACACACCGAGCGAGCGCGCGGCGTGATGCACGAACTGACGAATAAACGCAGAGAGGGATTGATTGATGGCGGGCTTAAAATGAGGACCCGGCCAATTGGCATTCTCAGAGAGGAGGAGGAAGGGAGGCCGACGAGAGAGACTGTATTGACTCATGTTGTGCGGCACAAGGAGCATGCAGTCAGTTGCTCACGAGCGGAGTCAAGTTCGTGCGCGGGCGCTGGCCCTGCGTGGCGATGGCGGAGAGAGGGCGTGAGGCGCAGAGTCAGAATATCCCGTGCGTGCTCGGGCAGAATCTGCACAGCGCTCTGCCGATGTGTCTGCGACGAGGGACGGCTTGCTACGCGAGCGTGTGTTAGAGCCGATTGTGCGATTTCGCCATCGCTGAGTTTTTCCTCTGAGCGCGGTGCGGTGAGGTGAGATTGTTGCGATGAGGCGAGGAGTGTAGACTCTGGGAGGCGGGGCGGGCGCGATGGACGACTACGACGGCGATGAGGTGGAGGTGGAGGTGGAGGCCAGCGGATCGGGAGATACTGTCGAGTCTCCTGTGGCTGTCGTCGATGGACCTCACATGAATGTTTTCTGGAGTACTGGAATGCTGGCGCACAATGCCGGCGATGGGATGTTCGACACTCTTCACGATCCTGGGTTTTTGGCAGTGCTTGATTCTCACCCGGAAAGTCCCGAGAGGATCATCAACATTTTATCCATTCTGAAGAAAGGTCCGATCGCACCTTATATAAGCTGGCACGATGGCGAGGCAGCTGAGCTTGAGGAATTGACGACATTTCATTCTCCAGGTAATTTGCGTCCAGATTCTCATTTTTGTAAGCGCGGTGAACTCGATCTGGTTCCGGGATGAATCTTGACGTCTTCGTAGATTAGTCTTTGAATTCCTTGACTCCTTAAAGCTAGTTTTGTTTTTCCTATGAAAAGTGGACGTTCAAATTGTGGTTAATTTGAACGAGTTGGTAGAAGTGTAATCGGTTGAACTGATATCCTTTCTCACTGCACATCATGCTGCATTCCCCGAGATTACTGTACTACCGGTCATTCTTTAGTACTTATGAACGACATCTGTTCATTCTGACAAAAATGGGGCGAAAAAAAGTAGACAAAAATAAAACATTCCCATCATTAAGAAGGAAATTGACATCTAGTGTTGAATTCTTCAAATCTTATTTCTTCCAAATTAGTACGTCTCGTTGATCCCTGAGTGACTTCATCATTGTCAAATTTTCGCATGGTATTCAAAATCAAAATTAGAATCAGTGCAAGTTTCTGGGGTTTGTAAACAGTCATCGATTTGGGCAATGGGCTCACCATTTGTGTGATAGTCTTTTACGTGGTAATCATTTTCTTACGCGATCAGTGGCAAATCACTGTATATCTAGTTCAAACCATCTCGATCGTTCCATTCAAAGAAGTATTACGAAGGTTCGCCACTGAATTGCTTCAAGGAAGCCTGGAATACGTTTTGCGTTCGAAAGTAATCAGGCATATGAGCTCCGGAGTCAGTTAATGCTTTAGTATTTTCTTTGATGGTTTCTCACAACATTTCAAACTTTTTTCCATCTAAAAATTCTCTATATTGCACAGGATGCCGGACAGCAGTAGTAGAGGAACGTAGTTGAGGAAATTATATTATTATCTTTCAATAAAGCTATGTCAGTAGTACTCAACTTACTATATGTTCTCTTTTCTTCGTGAGTCGCTACTGTCATTGTATACTTTACTTGCTCCTCCACTGACTCCAAACTGACTTTAAATAACAGTTCAGAATAAAAGGGTGTACATGTATTATTTTTGCCTTATCTTACATGTGCTAAGATAGTCAAGTAAGCTACCAGTTGTGATTATAGCTAGTCTTTTTTTTATTTCGTTTGCAGTTGGAAGCCAGATCTTTACCAACGTTCTGTTAACATCCCCCAGGTTTTGTTATGTGATGGCCGTCTGGAAGATGGATCATTCTATCGGATCCACTTTATTATACTAAGACATTCGGCCTCAAACCTGTTTGAATCCCGGAGCAACTTTCTTGTACAGTATGACTATATTTCAAAATTGTCCGTGGTTATTCTTGTAACTCAGGTACGTTATTTAGTCTACACCAATCTATAGGGAGGTGCACATAACGGATGGCATTTGTAAAGACTTGCATTTAGCGCACAATCATGTCACGTAGTTACGCATGGTCGGTTGAAACAACTTGTAAACAATTTGTTGACCACCTCTTGAAGCCATTGAACTAAAACTTTTTCTTAAGCATATTATAAACCATTTGAACTTAAGCATACTGTCTTAAGTTCAAATGATGACTTCTTACGCAAGATAACAACAAACAGACAGGTCACATGCTTTACACTTCTTTTTGACGTTTCTCTAAGTGTTTATATCTTCCAACTGTTATGAAGAGTTACCATATTTTGCTATAATAGTGACCTTGCCCTTCCTGACAAAGAGTCTTGGGTTTCAGGATGCTAAGAAGAGAATGACTATGATGAAATTTGGACATCTTTTCATGAAACATACTTAAGGAGTGAATCACGTACAGTAAAATGTGTTTTCAAAGCCCTCTCCGGCATTTTGGTAACACAAGCTAACCATGATCGATGAGAGGACCAAAACTATATTTATAATAGCAAGTATTTCCCAGATGGTTATCTGCTACTATATATAACGGACCTGGGATTCATCTTTGAAGTCATTGATTTTGTTACTTAGGATGTAACTCTCTTGAGTAACTATACGCTCCCGCCTCTTTACCTTTTAAGTCACAGGAAGTTTACGACAACTTTTATGACAGTCGCTCTTTCTGTCCACAGACCTTATGACTAACACCAAACGGTACCATATGCCATTTTTTTGGCCCACGGAAGGCTCGTGCATCTCCTGTTACGACTCTGGTTAATCGTGCTTCAACTCCAATATGAATGTCAGTCTTTCTGTACACTTTTGTAAATTGCTGTCGATTCGTTGACATTTAATGTAAGGGAAAACGGTTGCTACAGGACGGACATGAGTATCGAGTGTAAAAGCCGTCTTTCACATTGCATATCTCGAATTTCAGTGTTACCTCTTGGATAGCATGGTGTAACCAAGATCAGAAAATTTTCTGCCAACATTTTTTGGGGGTATTTCTATTATCGAACTGTGCGATAATCGGTTGGTGATTCACGTATTGACCTTCTTTTGTCTGACAGTGAGTGCCCTGGCCCTTTCACTTTAGCTATCTTATAAGGGTTGTGTGATGGATAAACGTATAAATAAGAAATCATTAGCTTTAGCTTAGTGCCAGCCCTTAATCGCATTAGTATATTATAAACAGCGTGAACAAATCGTTCGAGAAAGCAAACTACAAGGCAGAAATACCAGAATTGAATTGGTATCCAGGTCGCAGGAGTGTTTTTGGCTCTCTAGCGTTGCTACCTTGTTTCTTCAACAATTAAACACCCATACGATAGTGTCTTTGTCAGAAGTCACACCCAAATATCATGCAGAGTTTTACTGTTGCTTGTTACAAAGTGGAATATCTGATGCAACCACCACCACCACCAACAACGAGAATATTTAATAACTAATTTTTTTATTTTTGTTCTTCTTGAAAGTAAGAAACTGTACTGTATCTGCTAGTCTTCATGAACCAGTGTAGGTTTTGTCGTTTCAAATTAGTTATGAAGCGTATGGGGGTTAATATGCTGCGATTTGAATCCCTTTGCAGCGTACGTTAGAGATCTCTTGGACGCACACAAAGCCGGGGGAAAAACTCTATGTGGAGGAACTCGGATTAATCATGGCTCCTGGAAAGCTGTGTTACTTGCTGCTGGCACTACTAGGAGGGTACGTTGAAATGGAACCATTGAGTTGTCACATTTTATAACTTCTTAAGCTCGATTAGTTTTTTTAAAAACAAGCAATCCTTCTACTTTTGGATAAGAATATTGGAGAAAACAAGATTTACTTCCTCTTTGTTGATAATTTACTTCGAATGTTTTAGCCTTTATCTCCGTGCCCAAAAATGGTTGTCAAGTCTGAAACTTGTACACACTTGTACTCACTTGTACTCTAAATTCCAGGCAATGCGATACATTTTGGAGGGTTTAGGGAAACTGGCATATGCTCTCGTTCGACCTCCAGGTCATCATGCTCAACCTACTCGAGCAGATGGTTACTGCTTCCTGAACAATGCGGCTCTCGCAGTCCAGGTGAGCATGGTCTATACAACTAGGAAGGACGGAATGCAATTTATGTAAGTCAATCTTGATGTTGTCATGTAAGTACTGCAGGATTCCTAGTCGTAGCAATTCTCGTAAGTGTTCTATGTGAGGAAGGTTCGTTGACAGTAACAATTTTGCCGCACCGGTAATTTATTTTTTAGTGAATGAACGACTAGTTCTTTCATGGAAGTTGAGTCTGTGCCGGTAAGTATCATTGCAATACCCGGATAATATGTAGTTCTATTGGGATAGCAGTATCAATACACATCGTGCGTGTGGGAGCAACACAAACCAGAGTCTAGGACTGAGAAGCTGTTGTATGGAGGATTTATTTCTTCAGAGGAGCAGCTGTGACGGTGGATAGGGAACAGCTGAGTCCGTGTGCCACAGTTAAGTCTGTGTAGGGGCTCAGTGCTGAGGGCGCAATTTCTGATAAGGGTGATTTAGTATGCGTGTGTACGGGACTGACCGTATATGGAACGTAGTTGGATAGTCTCCTCTGATGGCTATCATCAGAGGAGACATGGCGGCTTTATTATTTGTTGGCTAACTTTGATCTATCCTTTGACTCATGAGGTTGGATGCTTGGAATACTTGGATCTTGCGTGACCTGAGAAAAGCTACTGATCTGTGTACATTCGTATGAATGCAGCTGGCCATTGATATGGATGTTAAGAAAGTTGCGGTTGTTGACATTGATGTCCACTATGGTAATGGTACTGCTGAGGGGTTTTACTCGCGTAAGGACGTATTTACCATTTCTCTTCACATGAATCATGGGTCGTGGGGTGACTCACACCCGCAGACAGGCCAGCCCGACGAGGTCGGTGTAGGTGCGGGAATAGGTTATAACTTCAACATACCGCTTCCAAATGGAACGGGAGATAAAGGGTATGAATATGCATTCAAGGAGTTGGTGGTTCCGGCTCTCGCAAACTACAAGCCTGCCATGCTTGTTGTGACTTTTGGTCAAGATGCTAGCGCGGTGAGTTCATGACCTTTGAACTTGAAGATGAGTGGTGTGTATTCTTCTCAGGACTGGACTACGTTTATCTAGCTGTCTGGAATGCTGATTGCTCCTACTCCTGATTTGAGATGAAATAAAGGGCTGCGTCGAAACCAACAAATTTCAGCTTGAATGAGAATGGATGGAGAAATGTTAATCTTATCATTTCATGCTGGCTGAGGTGAAGTTCGCCTGTGGATCTTAACACTGCCACCAGGTCTTCGTAGCGGAAGGGAGTCAATATGTGATAGGGCTATAGATAAACTTATGATGATGGCTGCGAAGCGAGAATGCGAGGAATCGAATCAAACAAAGTTGCTAGAACAAATTGCGTAGGACCTGATGGTTAGTTTTGGATGTTTTCTACAGTTTGATCCAAATGGGAGGCAGTGTCTGACAATGGACGGATTCCGAACGCTCGGTAGGCTTTTGAAGGAACAAGCCGATATCCACACGGATGGGAAGCTTCTCCTTGTGCAAGAAGGAGGATATCACGTCACTTATTCCGCTTATTGTGTACATGGTTTGATCGAAGGAGTTTTGCAGCTACCTGAAGAACTTCTGTCTGATCCCATGGGCTATTACATAGAAGAAGAAGCTCCAACAATTGACAGAGTGGAAGAAATTAAGGAAATATTTTCTGAGGCCATCGCTGCCGCCAAAAGCGAATTGAAGAAGTCTGAGACTTCATAGTTGACGAGACGAACCAGTTTTGTGATGCAAGGGTGTCCCAGAGTTTACTAAGGATGTGGATCCCTCAGTTGGTGGTCTCATGAAGATTTCATTCGTTCCATATTATTCTCCGACAAACTGATATTTGAAAAACAGAGGCGATAATGTGGCCACTTTGCGATCACTTGGTGGTGGAGTTGAAGACCATTCAAGAGTGGGTCAGCAGCCACTTGCACCTATGACTGATACATATTTGACTGACCTGCTCCTTCAAAGTGAAAAGTATTCTGGGTTCAACTCTCAAGCAGGTTGATGTCGGCCAATGACCTCTTCAAACGCATAGGCTGAAATTGTAGTACTCGAATACGGTATATAGTTACACCTAGACAGGGAATCGGTCATATATGCCCTTCTTTTTCTGATTGTTCTCTATACAACAGAAATGATGATTTGTGATCTGATGAACGATGCAACTTTTTTGTACAGAAAGAAACGGCCGTAACGATTTTTTGACATGTGATATACGGTTATCGAGTAAAACACTAGGATTTATCTTGTCTTTGACACGAATTACGTGGCATGTGCCCTTTTATGATTTACAGTGGGCGGTTTTTTGTTCAACTGGTTTGTATGCGGATTCATCAACTCTCTTGCGAAGAATTATCGAAAAGATAATTTGTCGCAATTGTACTACCCGGTGTGCTGGTCTGTCAGTTTATGTTATTATTAATCTGTTTTGGATTCTTATCAAATTTGGTTCTTGGTCAACATGAACATTGTCGAATTCGATGAAAGAGTGATCACAGACGACGAGAGATGGTTTAAATACCTGGATATATACCAGGGCTTGGACTATGAGAGTGTTTCCTTTCGACCGATTATTATTTCGTTCGTTGGTTTGGAGTGGAGTTCTCATTTCACAAAGCTGGGCCTAAGAGGCAGATATACGCACTTTTGTGTGTTCCTTGTTGGCTCTTGTCGATCAATATTCTCTTTTTCTTCCTAATTGTTTTCAGTAGTAACACGGAGCCCCAACAATCATCCAAAGACATGGACCGGCTTCCTCAGGAAATCCCTTGGGGGCGTTGGCTTGGCAAACCGTTTACACATCCCTCACATGCTGACTATGTCTCACCCAAACATGGAACGCGAATTCGATGGAAGCGCCCCTGTGCACATCAGAGCTTATTATGTAACCCAATGCATAAGTTTACCAGTGAGGAGCCATGGGTTTCAATGTATACTATTGATGTGGATGCAGTGTGTTGTTGATTGGGATCTTGCTAAAATTTATTGGAAGATATAAGCAAGCTCCCAATCTCTCACAGTTTAGTAGGCTACATCGAGGTCCAGTCGCAAACAAAAACATTATTCGTTAGGACCTGACGTTTTGGTGTCAAGCGTACCAAGCTTGAGTTATATCGAAAATCGACATGCAATTGGTGGAGCCTAAAAGGTTGGGTGCTAGAGTGGGTTGGAGAAAACCAATGTTCTTCGAGCAATAATTGAAGTAAGAAAATCAGAAGGCCTAAAGAAGTAGCTTTCGGCTTCTAGCGCATCGATAAAAGTCGAACCTATGAGAAGATGACGTGATGTCGACAAAAGCAAAGTGGATCATCATCTGAACCCTACAACCCTGGGCTCCATGCCCAACCCACTCCTGGAGTTTTCATCAGACTCCAACTTCTTCCCGACGAGGGTGACAACGGTTCATCGTCTTTAAAGGAGGTGTCAGAAGTTCACGAAATTGACTTTTCAGCTCGACCAATTACGACTTTACTGCTACACTGCCCATACACTGAGCACTGGGCACATGCAAAACAGTATTCGGGATAGAGGAAACGCATAATACCACTTCCAATATCTCAGCCTTTGAAGCCACAAGCTCTGCAGACATCATTTCGGTGGGTTGAATCTAGTTCTTATATATGATATGGAAGGCCCTCAGGTACATTCAGCGTATGGGAACCGGTTATCAACTTTTTCTCATTGTTCGATTTCATTCAATGAACATATTTGAAGTATCATACTGATTTCAGAAGTACAGCAAGGTTCTTCCGTAGAGAGATTCTGTTTGACTTTACATATCCAGATTTACTACCATACGTAAAATATGGAAGTGCAATTTCGGATTTAGGTGCTTGTACTGATTGTATCAAGTGACCCATTACAAACTAACATCTTTCCAAGAATATGTGTGGAATACAGAAGTTTTTAAAAAACCCTTAAATGTTTATACTTGCGTTAGTGACAGCATGAGACATTCTTATGTGTGGATCATCCTACACTATTAAATTTTAACTATCAAATATGTTTCAAATATAAGTATGAAAAATTACCTTCGATACACATAGTTGCTTGTACCTTACAGCACTTGCATCAGAGAGTTGTCGACGTCGGGAGTGTCGTTTATTTTGATGCATTTTTTTCTTGTTAGAAGTAGAATTTGATTCACAGCACTAGATACGTTTTTTCTGTTAGGTGTTTTCATCGTATACAGTTTCGAGCAAAATTTGAAGCTAAAGAATAAATAAGGGAGGAATTGTTACAATATACGTGGGTTTTGATCCGCTGTCCGGACACACAGGCAGATGAAGTGATCACTTGGGCTATTACTGTCAAATATGATGATTTGAAATAAATGCAAAGATTTATTTTTTTGGTACGAATTGAAGGATGATAATATGATATGGGTTTAAAGTTTTTCTGTGACAAGAAATTGATTTTTTGAAGGAAGTATAAGCCAAGGTTAACGAAATTAGTAGCACATTCCTTACGGACCACCTGTTTTAAAAAGATGAAAGTTAAGAGAGGTGAAAAATCATATTTTCTGAATTCAGATGATTTCTTTCAATAGTACGTTGTTTATAAGAACCCTCCACATTTTTGGGTACATTCAACTTTTACGACGGAAGACACAACTAAACAGGTGCAAGGAGAATTTTTTTTTCTATTCCTGAAAACTAAACGGAAATTCCTGTCTTGACGTTTGGAACTCTGAAGGTGACCACTGGCCGCATGCAATATACGTATCGAATATATGAAAAAAAATATATATATATTCGAAGTTCCAAGTTCAGAGTTCCAAACGTCAAGAAAATATACACATAATAAATATATCGAAGCAAGTGAGTGGATGAACGAAGAAGAAGTAAACGGCGAAAAGCAGAGCAAAGAAAATGAGAAAATGGAATGATGAAGCATGACAGAGAGAATGGATGACAGACATTTCGAACGATGGCGATGGGCATGACCCATTACCATATCCAGAAAATAACCAACGGCCAAAATCATTTGTTATCTGGAACGACTTATTCCACCTCACCACCACGAGAATACACGGCTGCTGAAGCAGACAAGCGCAGCTCATCCCCGAGCCCCGATATCGGGCGCCCAACATCGCCCACCTCGCGCAGGGGGCAGGCCGACGACGTTTTTACCACGTGCCGCTGTGCACCACTTGTCAGAGCACCGCTCCCGGTTGCCGGTCGGATGCACCGGCTTACGTGGCTGAATCTGTTCTTCATAAAGGATGCGCTATCCCATCTCGCCTTGAGGCCAATCAGTCAGACACTCACTTGTGCGCTTTTCAATTTTAGCTCATCCAGTTGGTCTCAATATTTTCCCCGTTTATTGCCCGACAATTATAGATACCAACCCCTCCAAAATATCCAGCCTCGATTCTTCACAATCGGGGCCTCGCTGCTCTTCTCTTTGGGGAGGGGTCGGTTTAGAGGTGGGATTCAGTAGCTTCTGCTCTCTGCGCGTAGAATCCAGTATCACTCTACGTGTAGCCTCTCTTCGCTTTCTTCTTCGCTGGCTTTTGAATCTCGCGGGGTCGGCGGCCTTCCTACACTTGGCAGCTGCTGTTTTTACTATTTATCTGCCTGCTCGGCATTTCATGCTTTCGTTTCTTCTGAGTTTTGATCTGTCGTTTGGCTTGAGATGGACGCCAGATAGGAGCTTATGAGGCGAGATTGACGGGGTAGAGTTGTATTTTGACTGTCAGGGCCCGCTCGTGTGACGGGTAGTAAGAATTAATTATTACTATATATCATAGAGGATACCACAGGAAAGCAAAGAGAGAAAAATCATCAGGATAGTGCTGGAAGAAAATCAGAGAAGATATGAAAATCCTAGTGAACTGGCTAATGGCTAAAATATTGAATCTGCCATTGAATTTCCAAGGAGGGTCGCAGAGTGATTTTGACTATCTAAGGTCTTGTACACAACAAATATATTCTGTTTTATGATACGTTTTTCCCATTTAGGTACCTCATGTGACTGTAATGAAAATATTATGAAAGCCTGGGTAAAAGATACTCATTAAATGAAAGAGAAAAATCTTATATACTGCGCTATTGCGGTCACAAGAAAGGGCGTCATGAATTTCCAGAAACCAGTGAGGCCTGCTATCGATACTCTCCAAACATGCCAATCACCATCTTACCGAGAACGAGAAGAGATGGTTTTTATCGCACATCGTCATCGGTCCTAGCAAATGGCGGGTTTAATGACGAGCCCAGGAAGAAGTAAAAGGAAGATTCATCCCGAAGAAGAAGATTCATCGAGGACGAAGGAGGCGAATGAGACGAAAGGCGAACGAGAAAAGCTTTTCCTTTTGCAGCGCGAAGCGCAGAGCGAACGAAAATGGATAAGCTCCGCGAGTAAGTGCGGGGGGGAGTTATCTCCCAGTAGAAACAGGCGTGGAGCTCACTCCATCCAGAGATCGCCGCGCATCGACGGCTGCCAAAGTTCACCTCTCGCTTTCCGGATTCCCCCCCGGATTCCATCAGATAAGGTGCGCAGGATCGGGTCCCCGACATCCGATCGCGGGCGCTCAATATTCTGCGTGCGCAGAATCCTGCCGATCGGCAGTCGACATCCAGCGGCTCGGACTTTATCTTCCGCTCTCATCGCTTTTCATTTAAGACTTCTGTCTGTCTTGACTTTCGGCGAACTTACTCCCTCTTACTCTTCTCCGTCAATTCCCCCGCCGTGAAAACTCTCCGGTGAATGGCCGGCATCATAAAGATGGCTCTTTTTCCAGAAAGTCACAAAATGATTTTATCCCTTCGTGTGCTGAAATCAGGGGAAAAGGGAAAAGAGACACTATATGACCTATGTAGATAAATAAATAAATAAATATACATACATAAATAGGCAATTCTTCTCACTGTGGTTTGCCTTTACAGCCGGTAGATTCGAAGCGCAAGTCATCAAGCCATTATAAATCGAAGGGATTCAATAATGCAATTCTGAAATATAAGAAATAAATCGTCGAGTACCGAGACTTGGAAAATGAAATGTAACTATGGAGTAATGAGTCCGGAGTGGAAGATAAATAATAAATAATTAAAGAAATATGCATAATTAGGCAATTTTTCACACCGTGGTTTGCCTATGCAGCCGGTAGATTCGAAGCGCAACGCATCGAGCCATTATAAATCAAAGGGATTAAATAATCTTATTCTGAAATATAAGAAATAAGTGGTCGAGTACCGAGACTTGGAAAATGGAATGTAACTATGGAATAATGACCCCATACCCGAAGATCCGACATCTTTGTCTGTAACTGCGAAGCACCGAAAGGGCACTAAAGGCCAAAGAAAGAGTCCGAGAGCAAGGCGAGGGGGGTGGCCTTGCTGATATTTCAACGAGGGGGGAGGGGGGTCGCTTTACCGTGCTCGCGCTATCTACCGTTTACCCGGCGGATGAAAACCAGGGATGCGCACGGTGAAAACCGATATCGGGCCCGAGCTGAGCGAAGCGAGAGCCGAACATTTGGAGGGCGGAGCGCCGGGGCGAGGGATGCAAGCGCTGCAGAGAGCGACGAGGGTGGCCCTTTCGGACGCGCAGAGCAGCCCCCACGGACAAGAGCACTGCAGCGGCACAGACAGAAATCCGCCGTGCATTTGAAGGTGCTGGGGGTTAGGGAAGAAGGCCGATTGCGCGCGTTTGAGGTTTGAGGTTTGAGGTTTCGGGCAATCGGTGGTGGCAGAGGAATGACGGACAAGAGCGAGGAATTTCGCTGCAGCTGGAGGTGAAAGGAGATGATCAAGCGGAGAGCTGGAGGAGGAGGAGGAGGTGATAGATGATGTCGCAGGACGAAGCGGGAATTTTCTGCGTTTGACTTCGCCTGCGTGTCCGTGGGCACAGAGATGGCGGTTGTTGCTACGAGCGAGCTGCTGCGCTTGCACGACTCGATCACCTGCTCGCCGCATGCTTCGTCCCGTGATGGCTCTTCCGGTAAATTGCCAATGCTTGTGGCCCCGGAGGTTTATGGAGACTTTGCGCATTTCCCTCTGTTCTTTGTGTCGACTTTTATGCTTTCTTTGAACCACATGTCAGAGTTTGCGGGCGGTGTATTTGAGCTAGTTGGAATGCAGTTGCCTTCGTTCGAGCTGAGCAGAAAGGGTGCCACAAGCCATGTTGTCAAAATCCAGTGAATGTTCTGAATGAAACAGGGGGCCCAAACTGAATCCTGTTTCTGCTTCTGTGACGAAGATAATGGTCACCTAAGAAATGGGCTCAGTCACCGAAAGCAATTTAGGAGATGCTCAGATCAAAATTCCTACATGAGAAGTGGTGTAACATTCCGATTACGTTGCCTACCGTAGACCACGCTTTTTAGGAGTTCACCTGGACGCTGTCGCTGAACTTTGACAGTGGGGGGCATGTGCTGTTATTTGGAACAATTGTCCCAAGCGGCTACTCTTCTCAGTTGCTAAGGGGGCAGTGAGACGAAAATCTGAGCTGAATGGAGATAGCCTATGTTGTGAATCCTCACTGTTTTAGGAGTGGGATAGTTACTCTTAAAAAGCTACCTTTGGCATTGCAATGAGTTACACACTCTGGGAGTCCTTCCTAGCTTTCATAGGAAATGAGGGTTCTTATTGCTGAATCTGAAGTCGTTGATGGTTCAAACAACACTATGAGCGAAGATGTGTGATACCATTTCCCCTAGCTTTTCACTCATCTGTGGTGTGGAATCCTGAATTGGAGATTTTGGTTTTAAATTTGGAGCCTGAGTTTTTTGATGTGTTACTGACTCCATTTGTAATAATCTTTTCCAGGTGTTGTGAAGAGCTTGAGGCGAAGTTCTGGGACCAGCAGGAAGCGAGTTACTCTCAAGCAACAGAGAGCTTTTGGACCTAATTCTTCTCGGTTTAGCGTAGAAACTACTTGTGCACCTTCGAGCATTTCTTACAGCCCCTGTCGAAGGCCATCCAGGTTGGCTCATTGTTTGTGTTTGGAAATCGATCTCGATTCGCGTCAGTCTTTACATTTCCATATCTAAATACGATTCTTCTTCAGAGTGGGTTTTACTGACTCCTGCTGGCTCTCTCTTTTTAGGTTGTCGGCCTTTGATCGAATTCAAAATTTGCCTGTCACTGCTGCATCTGCCGGGGAGAAAAGGACATTTTTACGACAGTCCATTCAAGCCAATGCTACCATTGTGACCACCGAGAGCTGGGTAGGGAGCGATGAAGCAGTGGCTACTGCCGCAGCCGAGGAAGCCATGGCTCTCGCAAGAGCTGCTGCAAAGGCCGCCAGGGATGCAGCTGCTTACGCCGAAGCCCAGGCTTTAGCAGAATCCTTCGATGATTTTCCCACAGAGCAGGATTTGCTGCTTTTGGAGAGGGCTAGGCTTAATGAAATGGCCAAAGGTGGCTCGGTACTAACGATGGAGTCTGCCGATCTTCTAGATGTGGGTGCCGACACCGAACAAATCACTAGTCTTTGGAAAGAATTAAACTTTGCACCCAGCGAATTAGATTTAGGGTCAAATTCAGGCTTTACATCAGAAGAGGCCCAAGCCGGAAGGCTTTGTGACGATCCACAGTCCTCCGAATATGAAAGAGACGGTAGGAGCTACAACATAGCTGTCAGGTCAAACCGTCGGCGAGAGAGGCTATTAAAGAGAGAGCGGGCTCTAGTGAAGGCTGACAAAGCTGCAACTGCCCCTCCCACTACATCAAAAGCAAAGAAGTCACAGCCTGCATACGATCCTCAAGACCCTGTCCGGGCCTATCTGAGGGACATTGGCAAAACAAAGCTTCTCACCTCCTCCGAAGAGATCGAGCTCGCCGAGGGAATACAGGTAACAATTTGCTCCTCTACTGGCCTTAGCTCTCGCACTGCCTGGGTATTTAAGATGATCCCTTCAGGTGTGCTCGATTCTGTGGTATACAGGAAGCTACGACTATTACACTTGCGCTGTTTACTGTCGTCATGCCTGAGTTTAAACTTTGTGAATCAACCTACTTTCTTGCAACTCTTTGATTTCTGGTACTTATGTCTGTTCCAATATTTCCTGGTTGTTTCTTACCACAGGATTTGTTAAGGGTAGAGAGTGTGAAGAATGATTTACGAGAGCAAATGGGACGAGAGCCAACTCTGATGGAGTGGGCCAAGGCTGTCGGAACCGAGCGGCACTCACTTGAGTCACGAATTAAATCAGGACAAGCATGCAAGGACAGGATGGTGAATTCCAACTTACGTCTGGTGGTTTCGATTGCGAAGAGATACCAGGGCAGGGGGATGACCATCCAGGATCTCATCCAGGTTTGTTTCATCTCCCTTTCCGAAGTCTCTTACCTTGAGGCGGCTGGTTAGCGCCTGTCTTCATCATTATGATAAGGGTTTTGTGGAAGGGTTTATATGCGGATTAAAGACAAATGGCTCTTGAGTCCCAGGATTTTATGTATACAAAGTAGTCCAGCATCGTCTCCACATAGATCAGTCCCTTACACATCTTTAGACCCAGGGACTTGGGTCTCGCTGTCAAACCCTAAGGGAATGTACTCGTATTTTCAGGAGGGAAGCATGGGTCTGATTCGAGGTGCAGAAAAGTTCGATCACACCAGAGGGTTTAAGTTCTCAACTTACGCTCACTGGTGGATTCGACAAGCCATCACGAGAGCTATCGCTGATCAGTCGAGAACCATTCGCCTTCCTGTAAGAATTCCAGGTTTTCTTCGCTTTTGTGAACAAGTATGTGTCCGTGTATGTTATCCAGTCTGATGTAGGATATTTCCCTTTCATTCAATTGTTTTTTTAATCGACATAAACCTTCTAATGTCACTAACCCCATGCCTTCTCGCAGGTACATGTCTACGAGTTGTTGTCTCGAATTACCAAAGCAAAGAGCATGTTAGCCGCAGAACACGGACGGGCGCCTAGGGATGAAGAAGTTGCCGAGTTGGTCGGCCTGAGTATTGAGAAGTTGAAAATGGTGATTAAATCAGCGAGGTCACCGAAATCTATGGAATTTCCAGTTGGAAAGAACAATGATACCACTCTTGGGGTACTGTGATCAGACCTATACCCATGTTCTTTCGTTAGCTATCACTCCGAAAGCTCCTGCATTGGCCCGTTTCAACCACAGTCCAGATAGATGCCACTCTGAATGTGCAATTTGGCAAACTGATTTGGCAAAGTTCTTGAGCTGGTTCTTTACTTCTCTGAGGTGTAAGTTATCAATCATGGGAACTATCAAATGCGAAGTCGATGGACTGACCTGAGTATCTTCTATTTGCAGGAAGTTATACCAGATAAAGACATTGACTCTCCGGAGGAGGCTATCTCTAAGAGGCTGCTTAAGCAGGACTTAGATGTCGTTTTGCACACACTAAGTCCACGTGAAAGGGATGTACTGAGACTGCGATATGGTTTGGATGATGGTAGGATGAGGACTCTTGAAGAAATAGGAAATGTTTTTAAAGTAACCAGGGAACGTATTCGACAAATTGAAGCCAAAGCTTTGAGGAAGCTTCGGCAGCCTAGTAGGAACACTGCATTGCGCGAGTATCTCGATCTATAGCCTAATTCGTCATATTCATTCCTGCGAGATTCTCCCTTGTGTTTCGGATGGAGAGCTGAGTCGGTACCATGATACAAGGCAGAATTTCGCAGTTCACATTTAAACGGTCTACCAATTTCTGTGTACAAAGAGTTTGTGCTACTATAGGAGCTGTAATCACTCCACTTCCATGGAGCTTTGTTGAACCCAGAGCTCAGTAAAGGATCAGTTATTTTGTGTTCATTCAGTCGTTGTGTGACATCAGTCTTGCTCTTGTGTACGTGCTAGCATATAGAAGATTTCATTCATTATGTGACTGCATATTGAGCAACATGAGTGGTTATTGACGTCGCATGAATAAATTACGTCTCCGGAGGTGATGCGTTTTAAGGTGCACACGCTCAATCACAGCCCACTTGCTCGAAGCCTTACACAAAAAAAGCTCTTGGTCTCTGGAAAAGCTACCTAACGTGATGTGTGTTCTTCTCCTCACTGTCGTGGTTGTGCTAGAGAAATGAATAATTCAGTCATGAATCCAGGCCTTTTATCTAGAATGTGCCGAGTTAATTAACGAATTCATGTACAGCAGTATTCCTCTCAAAAGCTTCCTTGATATCCGCAGTAGTTACCATTCTCAAGCAATTCTGTGAAATAAAACCACTTATACTTGCACAGGTACAACTACACCATACTCTGAAAGAACCTCGCTCTGCAACATACGATAACATCGTCGAAATTTCTTGCCCCTTCACTCGCAGATTGGAAACTTTCGTCAAAATTAAATTCGGCAATTACATGTCGAAGCTGGATATGTCAAAAGGCGCCGGAAGCATGATTAGCTGCGTGTCATGATGTAGCGAGATTAGTTACTTGCAAAGGACAGTATATAGCGATGTGAGAGTCAGGGTTCAGGGTTTGGGGTTTTAGTGCGGCCCGCACACACAGTAAGAGCCGAGTTTCAGCGAGCAAGAATCGTGTGTAACCAGCGACAGCAGAAACAATTCTCCATTAATGTTGCAGTTCGTCATCACACAGTTTACCACCAACGTCCGACATGTCGTTGCGTCGACAATAGAAAGACCTAGAATCATTCGAGGAGTTGTGTTCTTGAGAGAACTGCGTGAAATGTTGCGGATGTAGTATGCCCCGGGCAGACTACGTGGAGAGTGCGGCTGTGGGTGGGACCACAGCAGGAAATGCTGAGAAGGAGGAAATTCTCCCGGAAGTGAATTGCGCTTGATTGAGAAGCAAAATTGCTGCGATCAGAATGGGAGGCGGAATCAATATGAAAAGGAGGGTGCTTCTGCTGCTGAAGCGAAGTATGCTGGATGGTTATGTCTCTCGTGAACGTATGCAGATGTGTGAGCCCCCGTTTGCCTCGCTCATGGTGTCTCATCCCAAGGTTGGCCACATATTCTATCAACCCCACTCTGATCTTCATTTCAGATCTTGCGTTATGAAATGATCTGTTCTCGAATGAAAATTTGGTGATCTGTTCCGTGTAGTCACGATGCGTCATGAATTGACACGAATTCTAGTCTGTAAGAGATCGAAGTGAAGAAAAAATTGTTCATCGAAGGTATTACGTGCATAAATTCCAGATGATCTCTCACTCATGTGGTCCCTGTAATTCTTCGCTTCGCTCAGTCCAGCTCTGTCATACACCTTTCCATCCTAATCTGGCACCTTGATTGTCACCAACTGAATGATCGATTTATTTATCACAGAGATTTCAGACGTCTCCTTTGAAATCCAAAAGGAGGCTGGTTTTGAAAAGCTACTTCTTGGACCCAACCCACATCACCAGTAGTCGAAGTAAGAATTTCGAATTGGTTTGCTTTGTAGCTGTCGAGCCCCTGAATGCATTCCTAATTGTTGGTGCAGATTTGTTGCTTGGCGTTGTTTCAATGTTTTTTTCTCTCGTTTTTTCTGACATTGAATGCTGGGCAGGCGGTCGGCAATCTATCAGACAGGCACAGAGTTCATCAGCATACCGTCGAAGTGTGTAAAGATGTGCTCAAGCGGAAGTCGAATGTAGTGTGGGATTCTTTGATGAGAGATGAGCTGCGTGGGTGTCCAATTAGGGACGTGGATTTGGTGGTGACCATAGGAGGAGATGGGACGCTTTTGCAAGCCAGTCATTGCCTCGACAGCTCAATCCCTGTAGTTGGAGTCAATTCAGATCCGACTAGAGCAAGTGAGGCATGTTTCTCTTTACCAGATTGATCATCATGATCCTTGAACCCGAAACCCTTTTTCTGTCGATTCGTTTTTTACCCAGCAATAGAAGCAAGTGTCGCTGACACTCAGCGACATTTCTTACTTGTGAAGGTGGAGGAGAACTTGGAGGAGTTTGATGCCACGAGGAGCACTGGTTATCTCTGTGCAGCTAATGCAGACAACTTTGAGCAGGTGACGGTCCTGTAATTGGAAACCTTGATTGAACCTTTCTCTGATGATGAGGTCATTAAGGTAGAACCACATATTCATATATAGGGTATCAAAGGTGGAATACTGAAGACGGTGTGTGCCTCTGTACAACCCTCGAACACAAAGCAAGTGTTGTTAAGAACTCGGCTGCTTCAAATTTGAATATCTGATAGAATGAAATAACTTTCAGGTTTTGGATGAGATTTTAGACGGCAGCAGGAAGCCATTGGTGCTGAACAGAATTCTCACTCGAATCGACGGAATGAATTTTACCTATCCTTCGCTCAACGACGTGCTCCTCTCCCATCCCAACCCGGCTGCAGTTTCACGCTGCAGCTTCAGGTACCATACTACCATGATGGATCGTGAACTAGGATCAATTCTAGTATAGGGAAGTGGGAAGTAGTTGGCATACAGTTTTTAGTGTTGTGATGTGCTGGCTAAGAAGAAACTTTGAGAGAGCTGCAACAATTTGTGACATACTTCGTCTTCATCACTTTTTCACTGGTCAACTGACAAGCAACTAAGATCCAGTTCTGTCACCTCTCACTTCCAGTACATTTGAAGATACCAAAGCTACATATGGCTTCAGTAATAGTTCAGCAAGGAGTTCATTGTCTGTGAGTTCTGTGCGATAGGCGAGGGTAGCAGCGTCCTTGAGCATGCATCGGGTCAGTGTTCACCTACTTTTTTCTGTGGATTGTGACAGCATTCGCAAGGCAGGCAATGACGAACCAACAACTTCAGTTGTGCATTCCCGCTCAAGTGGCCTACGGATCTGCTCAGCGGCTGGCTCCACGGCGGCTATGGCTTCAGCAGGAGGAGAAATCATGGACTTTATGTCACCAGATCTCCAGTACATGATCAGAGAGCCGATCAGACCTCATCCCCTATTCCGGGATCATCTGAGGGGCTGGATCAGACCAGACGAGGTTTTAAATGTGCAGTGGGGTTGTAGGCAAGGTGTTCTTCACTTTGATGGGTCTCACGTTTTTCAACAAGTCAAATTCGGGAGTGTCATCGAGTTCTCCTCTAATGCACCTCCCCTCAAGATTTTTACGAATTTCAGTAAAAACGTTCAAATGTGACACCAGATTTCTCGTGTCTAGATGTACAGCTTCACCTCATTCATGCCTTTTGTCTTCCCAATTTTTCAGCAAATGGTTGACCTTTTGAAGATTGTTTTTACGACAAATTTAACCGATGTTTGTGTAAGACGACTCTCCACGCACCACTCACAGTGCTCCATTTTCTCAGTTTTCCCTTCATTTAAAAGCTAGCACTGGACGAAGTCCAGCTCTCGATTCTGATTGAGCTGCCCCGTCAGGGCAGAGCAGAGCAGGGCTGGGCAGGGCAGCTCTCATTATTCAGATGTGTTCCTGTCCTCAAGGCCTCTCCTTCTGCAGGTTCTGCTTTTGCCTGTTCAAGACGCAACAGTTCCATATACAAATGATACAAAAGTGCATCCATGAATTTCGCCTGCAGGCAAGCACGTCGATGCAGACAGACAGGCAGCTTCACATGAATCTCCATTTAAAGCCTTTCAACGTCGGTCTGCTGATCGTTTCAGCCCCAAGGAACTACAGGACTCCGTGAAGACCTTTGACCTGCGTACAATTAATAATTGCCCAACAGTGGCACCCTGCAATGTTCGAGCATCAGCAGCAGCAACAGCAGCCATGGCATCAATCAAGAGCCTCGGTTGCCCTTTTCTCGATCACTGAATCGTCGATTATGATCATCCAGTAACTCCGCTCTCCTTCCTCCTCCTCTTCATCCTGTGGCACTCCTCCATGTTGAGGAACGGGCAGGTGCTTTGTGGGGTGGGGTCTTCGAGACATTATGACTGTATGGGTTACAGGCGATCCCTTGCTCGGGCAACATGAATTCCTCTCGTCGTCACGTCACAGTGTGCAGTCTCTTCCTGCATGGCTACGATCGATCGATCGATCCCTCTCTCGCTCGCTCGCTAGACCCAATGCACAGCGTTGTGTTCAGATTATGAGCATGCCGTTCTGTTGTTTGCAAGCGTCCTCGTGGTGGGCGGGCTTCCTTGGGATCTGAAGGGCAGCTGAGATTCAGCTCACTGCGTGCATGTGGATGTTTTTGCTGTTCTCGGATTCTGCTCGGGGATTTATGTCTTCCACCTTTTTCTTATGAGGTGAGACTCAGAGTTTCTGGGATCGAGAGAGAGAGAGAGAGAGAGAGAGAGAGAGAGAGGGCGACTGTGCAGAGGTCATTCATTCATCTGGGTATGGAATCCAAAGAAGAGAGTCACCTGTTCATCCATCAGGCTCCAGAGTCAAGGGCTAAATGACGACATGTGCTCTGGAATTCAAGTCTCCTTTTCCTGTTCTAGCACTTGTTGCTCGCTTGGGCAAGTTGCATGAGGTGAACCTTGCGGCAGCAAGCTTGTCATTTGTCCAACTTTTGCCCTGTGCGCCATCATCGTCGATGATCGGTTCTCCAAAGACCAAAAAAATGGCTTTGGACTAGCTGTTCACAAATTTGGAAAAGACTGTTTTATAAAAATAAGATTAAATATAAAAATTATGTCTGAGAGGGCATCAGCACCCGTGGCCTAATGGATAAGGCATCTGACTTCTAATCAGGGGATTGTGGGTTCGAGTCCCACCGGGTGTGCTTTTGTTTATTTAGGCTGCTCTTTAACTTGGCAGAGCAGAAGTTGTTGTCTTGTTAGAGCTCTTGTTATTCTTTTCCAAAAGGAAACAATTTGGTGGTGGTAAACGATCAGATTTCCTACTTGTATTATTAGTTCATTACTGAGAATTGTGGGTAAGAGTAATTTAGCACTATTTATCAACTATGAGGCTAAGTATGGGCTTGTTGCATCGATCTATGTTTTCTTTATTCAGTGTGTGGAAGTTTAACTACTATCCATAAATCACGGCTTAATGTTACTCAATCACTTTTCCAATGCATTAGAGATTTGTTCTCGCATGAGAATTAAAAATATTCATTCTCATGCGCCATGCAATGCATAACAAAGGTGTGGTCATGCAAAATATACTAGATTTAGAGCATTAGAGTAGATTCCCAATTAAGATCTCACACGTTTAAATATGTATTATTTCCCCAAAAAATAATGTTCAAAATCTTAGATGATTATCTTATCTCTAATGTTTATCTTAGATGATTTTTTGGTATTTTAATATGGTTTTAGAAAACAAGGATGGTTTAACATGTCTGTGTCCAAACGAACTTTTACACAATTTCTCCATTCATTATTCAAATCAAATTACTCATCTACACTCCAACTTGATAGTGAAACTCAACTTCCTATTATTAAACCAAGTTCTCAAATATTGAATTCTCCAAACTTATTCTCTTCTCTACATCTCTATTTATATTAATTAAGAAATAAGTGTAGTCATTTTTTAACTTGCAACCAACAAGGATATCCCATCCATCATTCATTATCAGCCATCAAGGCAACCTGCGCTTCTAGAACTTATCGATAGATCAATAAACCAAAGAAAAAAACATAAGTTGAGCTCACAAGCTCTGATACCAATGGTTTTACCAAGAAATGAAAAGTTCCAAATCACGACAAACCAAAGAAAAAAACACAAGTAGACACATGACTAAAACACTAGATAATGTGATTCGCCATTGCCGAGCTAACTCCACCGAACCAGAAGGTTTTAATTGAAACCTAAAAGATTTAGTGTGAGCTAAGATTATCTCATCTATAAAGTGGGTAGCAAAAACCCTAAAAACCTAGAAAAATCATAAATCTAATCCCAACTAAGGTTAAACTAACTAGAATTAACCTCAAACGTGAGCAAAAACTAACAAAATTGAAAAATCAGAATATACATGTTGAAATTTACTTCTCAATATCTATATACACATCGCATACACATATATGAAGTCTTTTGCATGATCTTGATTTGTCAACATTTCCAATATATGACAAAATTTGATCAATTTTAAAGCTCATGACCCGTGCCAAACATACAAAAAGAATTAAAAATCCAAAAGATGACATGTTTACACAACCTCATGCCGAAAATTTTCCAACTGTACCCTACCTTCTCATATTTCCTGATGCTGTTGTCGATGGCAAATGATGACATAAATATAGGACTCACAAAATAATGAAGTAAAAATGACGGATTTGACTTACCAAGTCATTCTATGCATGAAAGCGAACAGATAAAACAGGACTAGACCCATCATGATCATCGCGAAAGAAAGTCTATAAAATTGCGAAGTCAAACTACGTGCTAAGAAAATGAACATGTGAAGAAATTTTCTCATCTGGGTAACGATAACAAGGGCCAGAAAAAGTGCCAAAGCAGCGATAATTAATGGTATCTTAAGAGCATGAGAAACAAAAACAATCTGACGGAAATAAAATAGTCAGATTAGAATAATGGTTAGAATGCGAAGAAAGAAAGAAAGAGGGCATTAATCACATTAGAAACAAAACCACGGTCACCAACTGGTTTCGCGGATGCTTCTGTTCGCGTTCGCATTCGCATTCGCATACGCTTGGGAATCCATAACTGCGTACGGTAACTTGCACTGACACCGTGGATCCAACGGTCGAGATCCAGAAAGTGCACAGTCGGTGTCTTGTGACCCCCCGTTCCGCTCGTTGCATGGACGGAAGTGTTGACCGCGATCGAGTCGAGGAGATGGAGATGTCAGAATCTCGACCATAGATCCGCAATAGATTCCCGAGCTCGAGTGTCGCGGGAGCTCATAATCACGCTCCAGACTGGCGTCGTCGGCGGAGGTTTCATGGGGGGCGTTTCGACATAATCCGGGCGCACCATAAGAGCCATGGAGACATAAGTGCGCATCCGTCGCCGGTCGCTCTGTCCATTTCCAGATGCAGATGTTGGTTATCACGTGGATGCGATGCACGGCCCTCCATTAACACCGTTGCGTGTGTTCTGTGCTCCGAGACATTTCGGTTGACCTTTTTACTCATTGACGCTGCTCGATTTCGTATCTTCCCCTGCTGCTGACAGTTTCAACCTCTCGCCCGCTCCCGAGTCACTGCATTTTTCCACTCTCCCCTCCATTTCTCCAGAATTGAAGTCCCTCTCTCGGTTCAAACAGGTTGCAGCAGCAGCAGCAGCAGCAGCCCGCTCGTTGCAGTTATGCCAAAAGCCTCTCTCTCTACAAGGTGCACGATCGATCACTGCAAATTTCGCATCGTTATGTTGTTGGGGGGTAGCTCAGGCCTGGCAATGCCCGAAATTAATTTAAATTATGGATTTTACTCGTTTTAAATTTGAGATCTGTAAAGAAATAGAGTTCATATGTACGCTATTATTCGATCCCATTATGAATTTGGTCTAGATTTAGGTCAAAATTTAGGAGGCCTAGGATTGTTTCATGTTTATGGTTTTGTCCTCCATGTGTGACTTGAGGGTCTTCCCAATTCATATTTCTAGTACAATATATTTATACTTACCCTGCATACCGAACTTACCGAGGGCTTTTCTAAGTACATAACACGCAGGGTGAATGATTGGTGTAAGTTTATTTTCATGCCGTTTTAGGAAATAAATAAAATGGTAATAGATGAAGACTGGACCCAAAGGGTTGAAAAACATAATACAAACGAAAAACCACAAACAAGATAAAAGATCAATCCTTAACCAGTGCCTAGAACGATAATTAATGATATATTTGATATAACAACCTAAATAAAAAAATTTAACTATAATATGAAAATTTTCCACACCTATATCATAACAAGCCTAATCTCTTCATAATTAGTACAAATAACAAATCATAAAATCATGGTAGTGTGAAAATATTGATTCTTTAACGGGGGTCAGCAAATTTTACCAATGGTTGATTCAGTGGTCTACTATTTCGAGTGAATAATATTCTTGTAAATTTCTTTTTAATATAGGAGATGGTGATATACATCACCTCCTATATTAGAAATTCAGCATGATTCTTGCAAGGTTTCAGTGCACCAGCGCATCAAATGTGCAATCTGCTCTGCGACTGGAATAATAAAAGAACGCATCGAAATGAAAGCACGGGCAAGGAAACTGCAATACAGATTACACGTGAAAAACGACGGATATACGAATGGATGAAGGCAAGCGGTAAAACTGCACAGAGTCGTAGGGCACCGTCAAATCATGGCTAC